TAATTTGTACAACTTTCATGTTTCATAGGTCCGCAATAAGTACTGTGAACAGTTTGACTTTGACGAGATCAGCAACCTGCTGGGGATGGAGAAAGGCTCCACAATTCCTGGCAAAGATGCTCACCAGGAGCAGCCCAAGTCCCGCTTCCTGCCACATTTTCTACAAGGTGTTGACTGGCAGTATCACATTTGGAAGTGGGGGGTCATTTTTACTGACAATGTAAGATTTGTTCTGCTGGTATCTAATATGATCTTAAAAATAATACTATGTGTATGTTTAAACCACAGTGTTTGCCACATACAATAAGGTAATAAAGTATAAGCATATAGAATGCCCATTTATCCACTAACAGATATGTCATAGTGCAGCTTTAATTCTGTGACGTTATAAGTTAAAAATACAATTTAGTTTACAGAATAACATTTTGTAGTACAAACATATTTATGGTATTTATTAAAATACAATTTAGTTTACAGAATAACATTTTGTAGTACAAACATATTTATGGTATTTATTATTTATTTCCAACTTTGATATGACAAATGTTTCCCTGATAGAGATCCACTAACATTTGGCCATTTCATTATTTTTCAGTCTTTCTTATATCTGCTGTGTTTCTGCCTGTTCTCCGTCCTTGGGAATTTTAACTATTTCTTCTTTGCCGCCCATCTGTTGGATTTAGCCATTGGCATTAAGGCTCTCAGCACCATCCTGCAGTCAGTAACTCACAATGGGAAGCAGGTAGGGACCTTGACTGCAAGCTGTTTGAATATTTTTTTAGGACGTTTTAATGCAGAGCCACTGTTTACTTTCTATTTGCTGAAACTTAGCTATTTACCCTTTAATTTTGTTTGAAAAGTAACAAGTAAAATGTCTATTCAAGTCAATTTAATTTTTGCCAATTATAACCCCAAATGAAGTTTTAGATTAACCAATTGCCAATGCAATTGAAATCCAGATAATGGAATATGGCACCATTAAATATTTAATTAATCAGAAGCAAGCATACAGTAATACATTTATTTTCAGTTGGTGCTCACGGTGATGTTGACTATCGTGGTTGTGTACGTGTATACTGTGATAGCGTTCAACTTCTTCCGTCAATTCTACGCGAAAGAAGAGGATGGAGAAAAGGATTACAAGTGTCAGGACATGTTGACGGTTGGTTAAGATTTGGTTGAGACTGCTGGCTGTACAGAGAAATAAGTTTCATTTTACTTGAATTAAAATTTTTTGGGTGAAAATATAATTCTTCTGAAGGATGAGTACTCGTTTTTTTTCTTCTTATTAAATTACAAAATTTCATGTGAATTTAAAGAATAATATTTTAATTTTTTTAGGGAAAGATGGCACATCTTAAAATACTTATTCACAATTTCTGCACTCAAGTTAAAGACCTGAAATGGTAAATTTTTGTTCTATGCCAGTGATGAAAAAAAATACAGCTTGGCATATTTCATAATTATCTGTATCTTTTTCAGTGTTTCATCTTCCACTTGTATGTGGGGGTCCGTGCTGGAGGTGGCATTGGTAAGTACAGATAATATTACATATCATTTGATTTTTGTTTACAAAAAATCTTTTGACATTTGTTGAGATGTTCAAGACATAAATCATGTCTTTAGAGTACTGCCAGCTTGTGCTCTTTCAAGCAAAAAAAAGGTGTTTGCAGGTGGTACATATGCAGGAGTCACTCCTACATGTCTGAGTCCAGTATTCCTGGTATTATTAACTATCCTGTCCTTGTTGCAGGTGATGAGATCGAGGCCCCAGATGGCGACCCATACGAAGTGTACCGTATCCTGTTTGACATCACTTTCTTCTTCTTTGTTATTGTCATTCTGCTGGCTATCATGCAAGGTAGGTTCAGTGCAGAGCATACCACATTAGAAATAGTACCTTTTAGTCAATCGCTGGTCGTTTTTACCAAATCAGAAAATCAGCAGTTACTTGATGATAAATCATTGATAAAATCATGGAAATATATATATTTTTATGTACAGACACAGATGTGTCTGTAC